TCCCCTCTCTCGCTCCCCCTCTCTCGCTCCCCCCCCCCCCTCCCTCCCCTAGCGACACGTTCATCACACGTCCATCACACGTACACGTCCATCACGCGGCCGCCTGCGCGTCCAGGACCGGTTCGACCCTGAGCTGACCGCGCTGTGGGTCTGTATCTCCCCCTATCTCCCCGTATCTCCCCGTATCTCCCCGTATCTCCCCTGACCGCGCTGTGGGTCTCATCGCCGGTCTCGTCCCAAAGGTTGACCGGCTCTACACGGACTACGAGGCCGCCGCCCCTGCCGGCGCGCGCGGTTGGGGGCGGGGTTGGGAGGGGGGGGGGTCACGGACCTGTAATTGAGTCCGCGACGCGTCCCCAACCTCGGCAAGATCTCGGCTACATCTCGGCAGCATCTCGGGGATCGCTCGGGGAATTATCGGCTGCACCTCGGCTAGACCTCGGCTGCATCGGTTGCATCTTGTCTCAGCCACCGCTACACGTTCCGAACAGGCGCAGAGGGGCTCGAGCAGCTGGCCCGCTGCCGCCGCATCCTTGCGGTGATGACGAATGAGCACGCGGCGCGAAGCGGCAAGGAGGCGGCGGCGCGCAAGGCGGCGGCGGCGCGCAAGGCCACCCGCCCAACGCGTGAGCTACTTGGCCGCGTGGGGCACGCGCCGCTCTCAGCCCGACCGCCGACCACCACAGGCGGGGCCGGCGGCGAAATCGAAGCCCGCAGCCAAGCAGAGCCGCACATAGGGCGCCGACCCTTGGCAACACTCTCGAACAAGGATCAAGCCTCTTAGACTCTTATTCCTTGTCCTGGCTGTGCTCCAGAGAGACGTCCCGCTCCTCGACGGTGTTTGGCTCGAGTGCTTGCGCGGGATTGCGTATCGGGAGATCGGTGAGTCGGGGCATGGGAGGGTGGGAGGACTGTGTCGTAGTGCCAGTGGCAGTGCGCGCCATTCCCGGGAAAGAAAAAGAAACAGACAACATGTGGTATAGACGGCCGACGTGTGGAGAGCCGCGGCTCTGGTGTCTGGAACGAGGAACGACCACGATAATCCACGTCACACCACGCCACAGGGCCAGCTGGAGGGGGCCGCCCGCCCGGGGCTCCACACACCAGGTGTTGCGGCCGCCCGTACCCTAACCGCCACCATACCCGCCCCCGCGCCCTCCGCCACCGCCTCCACCCCCGCCGCCCCCGGCGTGGCCGTCACCGTACGGACCCGCACGGAACCTGGGGAACCCGGAGGCCGGAGCCGCCCCGCCCCGGGAGGCTGGAGTACCCGGGGGAGGGGGCTCTGGGGGAGGGGAGGTGCCGCAAGATGACAGCGGGTCCGCTGGCGAACCGGAAGTCCGAGACCGGAGGGCTCCAGGTGGGGCTTGGAGTCAGCTATCGGAGGAGGCGAGAGACGGAGCTGACTCGGCCTCTGCGAGTGGAGTCGGGGGCATACGGACAAACGGACTCACCGGGGGTAGACCCGTCGCGGCGGCGGTTGGACCATTGTGAACCACGACGAGGAGAGCCGCGACCACCCGAACTCGACGAGGAAGCGGCGGAAGGAGTGGGCGAGCCGAGTACAATAGAGAGGCCACGGATGCGGGCGCGATTTGTCGACCAGGGAGAGCTGGCCCGACCTCCGACCCGGGGAGGTGAGGCGACACGACCCAATGCCGCCGCCCTCGCCCGGGGAGTCGGGCACGGGATCGCCGGAGGCGGAGTCAAAACAGGATCAGGCAGAGAAGACGAGACGGCGGCGGGGCCGCGGCAGCGCCACCAATGTCCTCTCCCCGGACTTTCCCTAGGACTTTCCCGGCTACAAGAGCGGAAAGTCGGCTGCGGGGGCTCTTGGCGGCGGAGGAGGCGACGTCAATCTCTTCAACCCCACCTTCTCGAGCCACTGCGTTGCGCCTACCTTCCCGTCCCCAAAGCCCGGATCCCTGACCTACAACCTCACGCAAGGCGCGAGGACGTACTCCACGTCCGGCCCCCTTTCATTTACATGACACAGTACCGCCCCCAGGACTTCTTCAACCGCGCTCCGCGGCGACCAGGCCGACCCAACCCTCCCGTGGATCCCGGGGACTCTCCTGCAAGACATCGCCAATGGCGGAATTCCGTTCCGCAACCTGTTCCCCGGCTACGACGGAGGCACGTTACTTTGGGTACTCGAACAAGGAGATCATCACACATGGAGTGGGGCATGCCGTGCCGCAATGGCCGTGTGGTCAACGACACAGACAAGCCGTGCTCGCCTTACAACTACAACACGGGCGAATGATCCGACTTCAATCATCAGGGTGCCGAAAAATGCCTTCAGTGGCCACAGCCCACACCTTCCGCCTCATCCTACGTGGAACGCCACGGTCCTGTGCTCGTTACCAGGATGGCATGTGCGCGCTCGGCGCGGGGGCTCGGATGCGTGTACACGCGTCTCGAGAACGCGTTGGCTCGCAAAGAGCGCTCAAACGGGAAATGCAACGGACGATAAATCGGTGCCATGACTGTATCCATGACGTGGGAAGCCACGAGAGTTCGGCGCGGGATCGGGAGCTTCCATCGCTTCCGGGTTCGCGTCAAACCAATCTGGTTAGGGAGCGGGGCTTGCCTATGGCGGGGGCGGGCGTGTGCACGGAGCTAAGTGCCTCACCGCCCTCGCGGGAGTGTACCTGTGTTAGTGCCAGTGCACGCCAGTCCCGAGCCCCGTGTTGTGCGAGGGAGCTTTGTCGTAAAATTCGGTTTACCACGGTCCTGTGCTCGTTACCAGGATCCGAGGATGGCATGTGCGCGCTGGCTCGGCGCGGGCTCGGATGCGTGTACACGCGTCTCGGCGCACTCCGGTTCACATAATGGAGAACGAGGCTTTTGTTGTCGTTTGTTTGGAAACGTGAAACGAGAGTGGCAGCCACCCGCCCAGCGCCCTCACGCTGGCCCTCAGAGCTCGGTCACGTGACACGTGTGCTGACTGCTGTGCCTGTGGCTTCAGACTTGTGAAGACGCCTTTTTGTCGGGCGCATCACACAAGCTAGCACAAGAAAGGCCCTGCTGGGCCTCGCCCCGCCCGGGTCGCCCGTAACCTAACTAAGCACAGTGCGCATATAGCTGCTGATCCCTCGGTTTCTTCTCCCAGGGTCCCCGCCCCCCCTTCTTGTTTTCTGTTCTCTGTTTTTCAAACAAAACGCCCGCCCGCCCGCCACCCCGACCGAGGCGGCTCGGCGCTCGGCGGCCCCCCCACCCACTGACTGACCGAGAGATCAAAACACGACACGGCCCTATGGGCGACATCGGACATGTGCAGCCACTGACGGCACTCTCCTCGCGCAAGGACCACTCTTCTGACTCCCACTCCGATCATATGCCGCCAAGTTCTGACTAGGTTCACGGCTCACGTGTCGTGTTCCACGCTCAACCCGTCCGAGCTGCGACGGGCACTCTCTGTCGGCGGGCAGCAGCCGCACCGCCTCCCCCCTTCCGCCGTGCTCCTCATGACGCGAGCGGCGGCGGCACTCTGCCTGGCAATCTGCGCCGGGGCGGACGCGTATGAAAGGATAATCCCCACCGACCAGGCTCACGCCGACATTGTGGGGCAGACAAACTACCAAGGCGGCCAGTCTTGCCGCTCCCTGCCCACCGTCATCGGCACGGCTTCCGAGAAGGAGCTGAGCGAGGTGATGCGTCGCACACACTCGATCCGGGCAGTGGGCACCGGCGCCAATTGGAACATCAACAACATGGCCTGCGCCGCAGCGGGAGGCTTCAGCCTGGTCACCGCGGCGATGTGCGAGGTGGACGAGCTCACGGGCGCTCTGCCATTCTACCTGGCGCCCGCCGAGGGGACGGCGACTGCGACGGCGGCGACCCCGGACATCAAGGTCGACGAGGCCAAGGGCGTTGTGACGGTCAAGACCTGTGTCACCGTGCAGGCTCTCAACGAGTACCTCGCCGCGTACCGGACAGAGGCGTCGCCGACGGGCTACATGCTGCCGGAGCCAGGCACGATCTATGCGGGGCAGACGGTGGGCGGCGCCGTGGCCACCGCGACGCACGCGCACTCGCTCGTGGAAGGGAGCTGGTCCGCCAAGGTCCTGGAGGCGCGCCTCATGACGGCGGACGGCGAGGTCATCGAGGGGGTGTCGGAGGCGACCCGGCCGCTGCTGTGGCGCGCGCTCAAGACGTCGGGTGGGCGGCTGGGCGTGCTGCTCGACGTGACGGTGCGAATCGTCAAGCACCGCATGATCAAGGTGAGCTATGGCGACGAGCTGAGCGCAAGCGACTTCATTATCGACGTCAAGCAGACCGCGATGCACGTGGCGCAGGCGGTGGAGCTACGCACGGAGAAGACCGAGGAGGGCCGCGAGGCGCTCGTCAACCAGATGAAGCGCGCGGCGCACAACAACAAGGTCCTGTTCGTGTCGGTGAACCAGCAAGGCACCACGGTCCGGTACCACGGCTTTGAGCTCAGCCCCGAAGACGAGGTCGCGGACGAGCTCTACACGACCAAGTTCTCCTCGGCCGCGCGGGAGCGGCACCAGGTCACGTGGTACAACTGGCTCGAGGGGACGACGTACCGGTGGGGCGCGCACACGTGGACCGAGGCGATCCAGCGCGGCGCGCGCGATGGCAGCCACCTGTGGAAGCGCCTCGAGTCGGGCACCTCCGACGTGGAGGAGCACCCCAACCTCTGGTTCAGCGACCCCAAGGTGTGCAAGGACACGTCAGCCGCCGCGGCCGACCCGCCCGCCTTTGCGGACTACCTGATGGAGGAAGCGCGGCTGGCGCGCATCCAGCAGGCGCCGCCGGCGTACCAGACGTGGACCGATATGCACGCCGGCGGGGCGGAGGCGGGCTGCTTCAACTCGACCGAGTACAGCATCCCGTGGGACCGCGCGGCGGGCTGCATCGAGGCGCTGCTCGCCAACGCCACCAACCTGTACCCTCCCAACGCCAAGACGGTGGACGTGATGATGGGTTGGACCGGGGTGGACGACTCTTTCCTTTCCCCTGCGGGCCGCGAGCCGCGCCTCTGGCTCACCGTCGTCTCGCACCACGGGCACGGCGTGCCGCGGCCGGTGAACGAGCTGATGCGCAGCCCCAAGTGCGCCGCCGCGCTGCACTGGGGCCAGGCCGGCTGGGAGGAGGAGCTCGAGGTGAGCTACCAGAGCACGGTCGAGCAGCTTGGGGTGGACTGGTGCCAGTTCGGCTGCTTGGCGCATCAGCACGACCCGGACGGCAAGTTCGCCGGCCATGGCTGGGCGCACGAGACCTGGACCTTTGCGGCGTACGACCCCGTCTCCCGGCGGGTGGTCAACGACGAGGCCTTTGCGAAGGCGTGCTGCTCCGAGGCGGCCCGGGGCAAGGACTCGGTTTTCGCAAACGACCGGTGCACCTGCGCCGCCAACATCCGCGAGAACAGCGAGCGCGCCCACTATGCGTGCCACATGATGACGGATCGGATCAACGACCTGCTCTCCACCCACTGCGGCACCAAGGAGAAGAAGGGCGCCGCGCTCACGGGAGGCTGCGACTGGGTGGGCATTCAGCAGTGGCACAAGGAGCGTAACCTGCACTGGAATCACATGCCCAACGGCTGCGCCGCAGCGCCCTCGCCGCCGCCTCCGCCGCCCTTTGTGCGGCCGCCGCCGCCGTCGCCGCCGCCGCCGCCCAACCCGCCGCCGCCCCCTCCGCCCAATCCAATGCCGCCGCCACCGCTGGATTCGCCGCGCGCCGACGCGTTCGCGAGCGCTGCCGCCAGCGACGCCGAGCTTGCCGCGCACGTCAGCCAGGCCAAGGCGGCGATCGTCCTCGTCGCGGTCGCTGTGGAGCTGCTCGTGCTGTACGGCCTGTACCGGCACTGCTGCCCCAACCTCTTTGGCGGCGGCGACCCGCGCGGGAGCAAGCTGCCGGAGGTGGCTGAGCAGGAGGGCGAGGAGGGTGACGAGGATGAGGACTACGAGGACGACGAGGAGTATGGCGAGGAGGGGGAAGAGGGGTACGAGGATGACGAGGAGTATGGCGAGGAGGAGGAGTATGGTGAGGAGGAGTACGAGGCGGTCGTGGAGAAATACGACCAGGGAACGGCGCGCGCCATAGGCGCCCGCAAGATGGATATCGACGTGTGAGGGCGGGGCGGATGGGTGTGGGTTGGGGGCAGCGGGCCTCCGCAAGCTCTCCCGAATGGCGGCGGCGGAGGTGTGGCAAGGAGACTAGACCCGCGAACCGCACCGCGGGGCGTCACCCTCGCGGGATTGCCCGCTCATGTGGGATTCGTCCTGTGGTCGCCGGAGAAACAAGGCGCTGGCCGCCACCAGCGAGGCTCCAGCCACAGGGGGAGGAGAGAGAGAGAGAGAGAGAGAGAGAGAGAGAGAGAGAGTGCGCGGGCGGGCTCCGCCCAAGTGGCCAGTGTGTTGGCGGGGGGGGGAGCAGCGCGGGGTCGCGCGGGGCCGGGCGTACGAGAGTGTGTGTCGATTTCTAGAAAAACATCCGTATGTGTCGCCGACCACAATCCACATAGACATACCTTCCACAAAGATCAAAGAATCCCTGTGCTGCAAGGCGGGATACGGGAACTTGTGATCCTTCTTAGTAGAAGGTTGCCGTTTTAAGTTTTATTTACCTTTATTTTCATCCTTTTCCCACAAATTACAAATAAATTTTCGTCTTTCGTCCGACGCCACCAACACGGAGAAGAGAGAGTTTTCAAAATGCAAAGCCTTACTGCGTATCTGCGTTATACACCGGATTGCGGATATAAAACACAGCCCGTCCACTCTATTTCGACTTGCCAAATGTCATGCGCCTCGAAGTACGTGAGTGATATGTTTGCTTGTGCTGGTCTCGGTGGGAGTCGCCCGGTGCTCTCCAGGCCGGGGAGACAGGGAAGGGGCGGCAACCCCGTCCCGCCCCCTGGGCACAGCCGGGGGACTGCAGCCGCTAAGGCGGCGCGTGTCTTCGCGACTTTCTCTACGCGACCGCCTCGGCGATGAGCACCGCATTGAGTGCGGCGCCGCGCAGCAGCTGGTCGCCGCAGACGAAGAGGTCGAGCCCGTTGTCGCCAAAGACGTCGTTCTTGCGGACGCGGCCGACCTCGACGTCGTACTTTTTGGTGCGGTGAGCGGCATCGGGTAGAGGTTCGACGAGAGGTCGTCGGCGACTGTGACGCCCGGCGCGGCGTTGAGGGCGGCGTACGCCTTGTCAAGGTCGACCGGCTTCTCCTGCGAAGGGCGGGAGGACGGGAGGGTGTGGGTGGGGGCGGTGGGGCGGTGGGGCGGTGGGGCGGGAGGGGCGGGAGGGACGGGAGGGGCGGGAGGGGCGATGCGGAGGGGCGGAGGGGGGCGGGGCGCGAGGGGTGGGGGTGAAGGTAAACTGGGCCGATCCCGGGTCCTCTCGGCTGCATCTCTCTCCAGCGCGCCGTCTCGATGGTGATCGCCTCAGCGTGCGCGCGCAGCGTCGGGATGCGGACGCACGTGCAAGAGACGGGCAGGTCGGGCAGGTCCATGATCTTGCGCGTCTCCCAGGTCACCTTGCGCTCCTCCTTTGTGTACCTGCAGCGAGGGGCGGAGAGGTCTGCTTGCTGCTGCGGGGGTCTGGCGGTGGCCGCGGCGCGGTAGGGCCGTCGGGCCGCCGTGGGGAGGGCGTGGCGCGCGGCGGGCGGGGGCGGGCCGTGGCGGATAGGGCGGGCAGGGCGGGCGGCGTGGGGGGCGGGCAGCGGGGTGTGTGGTGGGGCGGGGCGCGGGCGGGGCAGGGCGGGCGGCGGGGCGTGGTGTGGCGGCGCGCACTTGTCGTCGAGAAACTTGTCGATGTGCGGTATCACGTTGAAGGGGAGGGGGTGCGCGAAGACCTCGTTGCTCGCGCTGCCGCCGTTGGCCATCGCCTTTGTCCCCTCCTCGAGCTCCGCCATGCCGGGGGCGCCAGCGCCCGAGGCGGCCTGGTACCTGAAGGCAGAGGGGTGGGGCTAGGGTCAGTGTTGCCGGAAGGTAGAGGGGGGGGGCGGGGGGGGGTGGCAGGGGGGGGCGGGGGGGGCTCCGCGCGCGCGGGGACAGCAGACGTGACGGACAGAAGAAGAGCTGCACACCGCCGCACAGACACGTCCGACGGGACGGGTGGGGTGGCAGAGGGAGAGTGGAGAGGAGGGAGGTGCTCACGTGGACATGATGACCCGCCGGGTGCCGAACTGCTCGTGCAGCGGCGCGAGCGCCATCAGCGCGATGGCGGTGGTGCAGTTCGGGTTTGCGATGAGCTTGGCCTTTGCGCGGCGGGCGGCCTGCAGACGTGGCAGGGAGGAGGGGTAGGTACCCGCACTCACAGGGGAGGCACTCGGTTGGGGAGGCGGTCGAGGGAGGAGGGCTGGCTGTCTCCGCACGCAAGGGCGGCGGGCTCGCCCAGCAGCCTGCCTTGGGCGTGAGTGGAGGCGCTGCAGGCCCGTCACAGACCATGTCACAAGCCCCGTCACAGGCCCTGCCGCTGGCCATGTCCTGCCCCGCCGCACCGCCCTGCCCTGCCGCTGCCCTACCGCCGTCCTGCCGCTGCCCCAGCCTGCCTACCCTACCTTCCCTGCCGTGGAACCCAACCCGCCCTGCCCTGCCCTGCCTTTCCCTGCCCCGGGCCAGCTACGGGCGGGCTGCCTCGGCGTTGATCTCTGGCACAACCAGCGGAACGCCGTCCTTGTACCGAAAGGCGGACGAGTTGTCGATCACCAGCGCGCCGCCCTCGCCCTCCGAGATCTGCAGCGGCGGCGGCGGGATGCAGGGAGCAGGGCGAGAGAGAGAGAGAGAGAGAGAGAGAGAGAGAGAGAGAGAGAGAGAGAGAGAGAGAGAGAGAGAGAGAGAGAGCGAGAGGAGCGAGCAAGCGAGAGATGGAGAGAGAAAGCGGAGCAGAGCGGGTAGGAGGGTGGCCGGCAAGACTCGGCCAGCTCTGGCAAGACGACATGCACATGTGGCGAGGCGATTGCGGCGGACGGGCACCTTTTCCGCCCACTCAAGCGCAAAGTCGCCAGAGACTGCGAGGAAGACGATGTCGCACTCGCGCGCGGCGGCGAGGGAGAACTCCTCGATCTGCAGCGTGCCCGAGCCCGTCTCCATCGGCTGGCCCGCCGACCGCGCCGACGCGAAGAGCCGCAGCTCCGACACTGGGAAGCCGCGCTCGCCCAGCACAGCGACAATCTCCTGCCCCACGGCACCAGTCACGCCGACGACGCCAACCTTCTTCGGCGCGATGTCGGCCATCATGTCGATGGGAGCGACCTCCGGGAGGCGTCGGCAGGACCACGCCCTCCGCGCCGCCGTGCCACGCGCGCCCGCAGCGCGGAGCTTTGAGCGAGAGGCTGCCGCCAGCGGCGAGGGCGCGAAGGAGACGGCGACGGGCGCAGCGGCACGGGCAGCGGCGGCGGGGCGCAGCGGGGCGGACCGCACGGCCGGCGAAAGCGGCGCCACTCGGAGCGCCGCGCAGCCAGCGACGAGCAGGAGTAGCGATGCCGACAGCTGCCTCATCAAGATACAGCTGGGTCCGTGCCGCCAAAGAATTCAACTTTTGCACTCGCCTCACCTGCTCGAGAGAAAAAAACGTCCTCCCATCCCTCCCTTGGGTTGTCTGTTTTCTTTCTTTTTGCTCGAGAGAAATGTGGTCCTTGCGCGAGGGGAGCTCGATAGACTCGAGGGGCCAGGATACGCCGCGAGGAGGACGGAGTTGCGCCGAAAGGCGAAAGAAGCCGCGAGAACAAGGGACCGGCAGGCGGCGGCGTCGCAGGACGAGGCAGAAGAGAACGACGCGACAGAGGAGGAAATGACAAGGGAGAGAACGACGAGAGTGGGACGGCCGCGAGGTGGCATGAAGGTTGCAGCGAGAAGCGGCGAGACCGAGAGACTGCGAAAAGAGATACGATGAGGCAGACTCCCCAAGGGTGGGCGACGGCTAGCGCATCACACTCCTCTCCTTAAAATCCCTGTGTGGTGGCGGCGTGCCGTTCTCCCATCCCTCCCTTGGGTTGCCTCTGTTTTCTTTCTTTCTTTCTTTGCACCTGCTCGAACCCTGAGCACTGTGCGGCATTGCACGCTCGAGGTCGTGCATGATGTAGTAATCATTGTCTTGAGTATTGCGCTTCTCTCGACAGAGAGCGCTAGCCTCTACCCCTTGGTCCGTCGAATCTCGGCGCGGCAGATGCGACGGGGCCGAGACTGACGAAACCTCCCTGTGGTGGGCTGCTGAGCCTCCCCCACACACGAGACCACCACACCGGGACACCCATGACACACTAGAACAGGTTGCCACGAGGCGGGATGAGACTAGACGTCTCGGACGAGACTCGTCACTCGACGGAAAACTAAGGAACATCGGGTTGCTGCGCGGCGGGTCAAACCCATTATGCGCAGTCATCCAGATGTCAGCTGCACCTATACGGCACGATTTTCTTCTCGCCGCTGCTCTGTGGCCTGCTCTGTGGCCTCGCGGATAGTCGAGTTCGCAGCCTTGATATTGAGATCTCGACGATGCGCACGCTCTCTTCCCGACGTGTCCCTCCTCTCATTGGACCTCCATCGCGGTTGGCTCAAGGCTGCACGCGCCTCCCTGCGCTGGCGCCTCCCCGCTTTCCTCGGCCTGCCATCTTCACCTCGCCGCACATCTCCCGTCGCACACAGCCTGCTGCACACTCGGCCGCTTCTCGCTGTCAGCTGCAGCATGCAGAAGAATTTCCGCATCACGAAGAAAAGTCCCTCTCAGAGAAGAAAGCATCTAATCGTGGTGGCGGCGTGCCGTCCTCCATCCCTCCCTTGGGTCCGTTTTTTCTTTCTTTCTTTCGAAGAAAGCATCGACGCGGTTGCAGGGAGAATCGGTGAGGGACTGCGAAGAGAGATCGAGGAAGAGGCAGACGCCCAACCAAGGGTGGGCGACGGCTAGCTACACACCTTCCTTCCCGTGAAATCCCTGTGTGGTGGCGGCGTGTCCTCCCGTCCCTCCCTTGCGCTTGCGGGGTTTTTCTTTCTTTTATCGCGCCCTTGTCGTGCCAGTGTGCTGTGAGAGAGGCTTGGGGTTAAGAATTCTTTTATCTTACGTGACAGCCCCCGACAGCGTCTCGACCACTTCCACAGGCGTCACACTCGACCTGGGCCTCGACCTCGGTCGCGTCCGGCCGGCGGGCGGAGGAGGCTAGCGCCCACACGCGCGAACCATGCCCGACGACTTGCTGCGGCGCGCGGTTGGCGCGAGCACGCTGCACGTCCTGCCGAATGGCGGCAACGCCGGTTCGCGCGCGCGCATGCTCCTCAACGCGTCCTCGTGGCGGCAGCAGCTGCACGCCGCCGTGCCGTCGGCGCAGCGCATCGGGCTGTGGAGCGACGGCGGCGTCGAGGTTCTCTGGACAAAGCGCGACGGCGCGAGCGGCGTGGGTACGCCGTGCGTCGGCTGCTCGCCGCTCTACGCGGTGGTCGGCGGCCGCCCCTTCTTCGTGTGGCCGACGAGCGAGCGGCCGCGCCGGGTCGCCCTGGATGATGACGGCGCTGCTGGCACGAGCTGCACGCTGCGCACTCTCAGCGAGCGGCCGCGCGTGCTGATGGCGGAGGGCCTTCTCTCGTCTGCCGAGCTCTCTGCGATCCAGCGGGCCGGCGCGTCGCGCCTCCAGCGCAGCTCGACCGACTGGTCGCTCGTAGCGGCGCTCGGGCGCCTCTTTGGGCCGAGGCAGCCAGCGCACCGCACCTCGCGGAGCGCGTGGCTCCACGTCAGCGACGAGGCCTCCTCCTCCTCCTCCGCCGCCTCCGCCTCCTCCTCCGACGCGGCGCTCGTGCAGGCGGCTGCCCGGCGGGTCGCCTCGCTCGCGCGGCTGAGCGTCGCGCACTCGGAACCGATGCAGGTCCACCACCACACACGTCTCCGCTACCTACCTCCTCGTCCCACGCCCCTTCCTTATTTGGGGCAGGTGGTCCACTACAACACGTCCGAGTACTACTACTACCACCTCGACAACCCAGACGTTGGCGGCGGCGGCGGCGGCGGCGGCGGCGGCGGGCGGAGGCGCCGCCAGGTGCCTCGCGTGCTCACGGCGCTTTTCTACCTCAACGACGGTTTCGAGGGCGGCCACACAAACTTTCCTCTCTCTGGCGGGCACTGGCCGCCCGCCGGGGCCGCGGGGCGGGGCGCAGCCGCCGCGCAGCACGCCACCGGTGGCGACCACCAGCCGGCGCGGGCCCAGGACGTGCTGCGCGCGTTTGGGCCGTGCCAGACGGCGCGCGGGCTCAGCGTGCGCCCCAAGCGAGGCGACGTGCTGCTCTTCTATAACGCGCAGCCCATGACGGCCGCCGCCGACTACTGGCCGTGGCATGGCTCGTGCGAGGTCACGCGCGGCGAGAAGTGGGCCGCCAACCTCTGGTTCCACGCAGGCACGCGCACGCGGACAAGATGACCCACCCACCCGAGCGCCGAGGCAGCCGATCCGCAGCGCCGGCTCCTCGGACGGCCATTGTCCAGCTTGTAACAAGTATTTCATTGAGTGTGTGCGCGTGGCGTCGGGGCCCGCGGCCGATGTAACCTAAGTTCACCTTAGAGGAAGCACAGTGATCCAACTGACGCAACTGTCGCGAGTGCTGCTGTTGAGCACACTCGCGGCGCCGCCTCCTCGCCGCCCCGGATCCTGCGCACGCCACCAGTCTTACGCGGCCGCCGCCGGCCGCTCTCTGAGTACTGAGACCTCTGACTCACCCTCTCACGCGCGTTCCGGCTCTTCGAGCCGCCGCGGCCGCGCTACGGTGCGGGGCCACGCCGCCGGGACGGCGCAGCCACTCCTCAACCCGCGCGAGCGCGTCGAGGCGCAGCGGTGCCATGCCATGCCATGCCATGCCGTGCATGCATGCATGCAGGCGCGCCTCGGAGGCGAGCTGCTCGGCGAGGAGCATCGCCGCGCCGACGGCCTTATTAGGAAGCTCGAGCAGCACGAGGCTGCGCAGCGAGCGCACCTGCCTCCCGCCGCAAAAGGAAAGGCCGCCGCCGCGTGGAAGAGGTGGAGGAGGAGCGACGACGACGACGGCGAGGGCGTGCGCGGCGAGCATGCCTGGCGGCGCACCCAGTGGCTCAGCTCACGCGCGCTCAGCGCACGTGCTTCCGCCTCACGTGCTCCTGTCTGTCGTACTCGCCTGGTGGCGCATCCCGTGGCGCAGGTCACGTGCTCCTCAGGTCACGTGCTCGCCTGCGCTGGTGCCGCATCCAGTGCGTCGTCGCGAGGCGAGGCGCATGCTCGGCCATGAAAGCGTCCGTCGCCGCGAGCGCTTCGTCAAACGAGGAGTACTCCTTGAGCTGCAGGCCGATCAGCCGCTTGCGCTCGTCGAGCTGCCCACGCACCTGCGCGCGGGAGAGGAGAAGCAGAGGTGGGGAGAACGAGGAGGAGGTGGTGGAGGAGGAGGAAGAGGAGGACGACGACGACGAGGGCGGCGGCGGCGGCGGCGGCGGCGCTTGTGGCGCGCACCAGCTCGCGGTGCGCGTGCTGCGCCGCCGCCGCCTCCGCACGCCCCGCGCCCTCGGCCAACTGCTCGAGCAACACGTCGGCGGCGGCGGTGCTTCCGCCTCCGCCTCCACCGCCGCCGGCTCCGTCCACGTCCACGTCCCGTCCGTCCGCGTCGCACGCTCGGCCGGCGCAGCGCGGGCACTCACACTCAAACTCAAAGCGGTGACGCAGGAAGGCGCGGCGAAGCGGCGGCGGCGCGCAGGGCAGAGCGTCAGGCAAGTAGCAGATACAGAGCTCCTCTCCGGCGGTTACATCTCGTATGGCGTAGACGGTCGTCCGCTCGGCGGCGCGCGCCTGCCTTATTAGGGAGGGGAGAACGACGACGACGACGACGACGACGACGACGACGACGACGACGACGACGACGACGAGGGGCGTAGCCGGTCTTCCGTCCGTCCGGCGGCGCGCGCCTCGTCGATGGCCGCATTAGGAACGCACGAGTGGTTGAGGACGGAGAGGTGCGCGTACAGCAGGAAGCGCTCCTGCCATATTAGGGAGGGCGCCTCGTGAGCACGAGGAGGAGGGCGAGGAGGAGGACGACGAGGAGGACGAGGAGGACAACGAGGAGGAGGAGGAGGAGGACGACGACGACGACGACGACGAGGTGCGCGTCGGCAGGAGGCGCACCCTGCCGTCGGTGCCCACATGGTGGAAGCCATTCGAAGAGGCCGCCGCCCACGCACGTGCAAACTCAGCGTCCGTTACGCCGTCGAGCGTCGACGAGGCGGCGGCGTACTCAGCGGGAGGGCGGAGCATCTGCGAGCAGCCGCGCGAGGCGAGGACGCGCGCGACCACCTGCCATATCAGGGAAGGAGGGAGCTGACGTGAGGACCTCAGACGAGGAGGGCGACGAGGACGACGGCGAGGAGGAGGAAGGAGGAGGAGGACGACGACGACGACGACGATGAGGACGCGCGGGGGTGCCAGTGCGGGTAACCTTCTTTTAAGCTTCTTTTTAGACCGCTAGGATTGAGAGCAGCCTCGCTCTCAATCCTAGAAGTCGAAGGATTGTGAGCAGCACTCCTCGCAATCGTAGCATCTCTGTGCGATTGTGAGCGCCTACGCTCGCAATCCTACATCTTCTAGGACTAAGAGCAGCTCCGCTCCCAAGGTGACTGGTGACGCCTACGTGCTACGACTACTACCATCGCGCTCGCAATCCGAGCAAAGTCTAGGGTTGCGAGCAGCTTAGCTCATAATCCTAGCAACATGCCTCCGATTGCGAGCAGTAGCGCTCGCAATCCTAGAACTTCTATCTAGGATTGCGAGCGGCTGCGCTCACAATCGTACCAAAGATCCAAGGACTGCTAGCAGCCGCACAGAGAGAGAGAGGGCAAGCGCACAGACATGGTCCATGCGGAATCGACCCTATCCATCCAGTGCTCAAGTGCTCAAGGTGCGGCCCCTCTGGCATGTCCCCCGCAATTTATCTTCTTCTATTTGGTGTACCTGTGTTAGTGCCAGTGCGCGCCAGTCCTAGAGCTCGCTGCAAACTTTCTTCTATTCGATCGCTCTCTTGCTCGTAGGACAAGACGTGATTCGATTCGCAGGCGTGACTCGTCGGACACCAGACGTGATTCCGCTCGAACTGGAATTCGCCGCGGCGGGTCGGCTTCTAAAATTCTTTGTCGTCGTGGGGAACGTCATGCAGATCTGGGCCCGCGACTCCCTTCCCTCGTTCGAGGAGCTGCAGCCGGAGCCCGCTCTCCTGGCGAGCTCGGAGACCATCCCGACGAGGGCACAGATGAGGATGCAGCGCTGGCCCGGGAAGAGGAGTTACTGCCATACGATTGGCAGGGGATGTGGCGGCCCGCAACACCGCCAGGCGTGGGAAGAGCTGAGCACGGAGCTCGACCACAACGCACGGGCGCTCGCGCTCCACTTTGTGGACGACCAGTGCAAGGACCTGCCGCCAGAACGACGAGCGGCTTCCGCTCGGTTCGTGGAGCTCCTCCTGACTACAGGGTTGGAGCTTTTGTGCAGCGTGGCCTCAAAGCTGCACAGCCTGGAAGTGGAGCAGTGCTGGGCGTGGTGCGCGCGGTGACCGCGTCCCAGCACATGCGCGATCGCTACTCACTGACGCAGCTGTGCAAACAGGGACCTTAACGGTGAGAGATCCGGCGAGCAGTACTCGGCGCCGTGGTGCATCAAGCGCGTGCTCAGTCTACTCCTAAATGGCATGATACGCAGCGGGTGGGTGCCGGACATTTCCAACCAGGCGCTGGGCGCGTACGACTGCTGCGCCCGCTACGAGGGCTGCCACGAACACTTTCTTCTCGTCGCCGGACGGCGGGAGAGGTGGTACAGTCTGGCACCATGTGCGAGAGCCTCAACCCCCAATCCCTTGCGACCTTGCGCCTCCGCGGAGCCCTGCTTGTCAGGGTGGTTGCCACCGGGCGTGACTCACGCGCGCGCCTCCCGCGGATGCAGGTATGCATTGGGTGTGCAACGTTTGCTATCCGCGAGCACTCGGCACGCAGGTGCGGGAGGCGAGGGAGCGGGCGAGGGTTGCGGCGAGCAAGGCTGCAGCTGCCGCATCGGACGCACGCAACGCTGCGATGGCGGTCGCCATCTCGGACCGGCACCAGGCAGCAGACATATTCAAAGAAGTGGCGCGCGAAACGGAACTGAGTGCGGCTGCAGCTGAAAAGTTCCGAGGGGACGATCCAGTCTGCCCCAGCTGCGGCGCGCGCGTAGGAGCCGCGTGGTCCGCCAACTTGCGGGCTGAGACGCGTGGTGGTGAGGGTACTAGTAGTACAGTAGGATGAGAAATATGAAAAACACCGGAATTTAGGGACTCTGCTCAGGGAATGACGCCGGACACAGATACAACAATATAATACGACGCCAGGTGGCCTCCGTCTGATCCACCTTTAAAATCGCTGTTCGCGTTGCGCCGGTCTTGCTGTTGGCTTGAATGCCGTCCTCGCGACAAGGGCCACTGCCGATCACTGCAAACGATGCACCCGGCGCCGGTGCCGGTCGAGGCGATTCAACCCCTAGCAATTGACCACGTCGGCGCAGGCGGCTGAGACACAGAACGTCGCCAAGGCACAGGTCTTCAGGCTGGACTCCAAATGCGACGAGCGCACACCTCGGCCCACACATCCGTCTCTGGCGAGTTGGCGTCGCTGTCGACGCCTGTCCAGTCGACGAGCAGTGCACTGGACTCTCTGATGCCCATGCCGGAGGAGAATTGGTTGGTTGCGTAGACGCTGTAACCGAGCAGCTCATCCATCCAACTCCATGGGACGTCGAGTCGCATCCATCTCACCACCAGCAAGGCACCAGCAGGGACCAATTGCAACAGCCTCGCGACTCTCGCAGTCATACTGCGTGCAATCGCGTCCCGATGCGGCGAACGTCCATGGCTCTGCTGGCTCAGCTTCCCAGCCAGACGCCATCCATCCGGCAAGCATGCGTCGGCAATCGCATCTGCGATAGAGGACATGCTCTGCGGGTGCACAAAGAAGAGCACGTACGGCTTCGTGGCTGTCATTGGCAGCACGCGTACAGCGCCGCGCAAATGCCGTGGCTGATCGGGCGGACGGCCGAGTTCGGTCCTCCTTCCTAGACCTAGTAAGCTACGTTTTGAAAGCTGCGTTGGTTCTGCGCGAGGGCACTCTGGGACGCAAGCACGTAGACGTCTGAAAGCCCCAAGTAGCTAGAACTTACAGTTCCGTCAACCGGATCGCCGTGGCTTGGTTTTCCCCAAATGCAAAAATCTCTTGTTATTGAGAAGTAAATACCGCGTCACCGCATACGGGCACAGCTCCCCGTTAAGCAGCGGGTCCCCGAGACGCGTCTACCGTCTTCTTTTGTGCTCATCTCGCGCTGGGGGCAAAAAAAGAAACAACGCCAAACGCCTTTTCTCGACCTACGTTCGCCGTGACGGTCGCTCCACAGGTGCCCTATATTAGGCAACCTACCTGCCTCATGCGGTGTTGTTTATGTGAAATTGACCAGCGGCGGCAAGCGGGCGCCTCCCGCGGGCGCCTCCCGCTTCTCAGAAGCCGAGCCCCACCCACTTGCACCATTCGCCGCGCTCGACGCCCATCTCGATGATGGCGGTGGCGAGCGCGGGCCGGCGGCTGACAAAACGCCCGCTGTGTTTGACAAGGCTCCACCCCTCGAAGGCGGGCACACCGTTCCACGAGCCCGCCTACCAGAGTGGGGCGGAGGTTGGCGAGGTGCAGCATGTTACCCATCTCTGGGGTCGCCATGTGCATGTGCTATTATTTAAGTGTGGCGGGGTTGGGGCGGCGCGCCTGCTTGCGCTCGCGGATGTGCGCCGCGAGGCTCTGCAGGAACTTGTTGGCGGCCACCTCGTGCACGTCCCACACGAACCCGCGCTCGGTCAGGGCGAGGATGCGGTCGGGGTAGCCCTTGACGAAGATGCCCATGCTGCGGACGCTGTGCCACAGCGAGCCCACCTTGACGCCTGCGAAGACGGCGTCTTCCCGGTGCAGCTCCGGCTTGTCCATGCAGCAGCTCCAAAGCACAAGCAGCCACGAGAAGCCCGCCGCCGACGCGAGCAAGGTGCCGGACGAGTCGCACGCCGCGCCGCTGCCCTCGCCGCCGCGCGTGAGGTTCCAGGTCTCGGGGTAGGGGCCGCCCGCAGCCTCGACGATCGCCTATGTGGTGAGATCTCGCGAATGCAAGGGAGGAGAGGGGCGGGATGCGCGGCGAGCTTTCTCTCGCCCGCTCTTGCTGGCCCGCCCATGGGCGCAGGTCCTCGGGTCGAGCGAGCTCGCCGTCGCCCTGGACGGCCGGCGCGTCGAGCAGCGCCGTGTGGCTGACCGGCACGTCGCCGTCCTTGAGCACGATGCGCCAGTCGAAGCTGTCTGCGCCGAACCTGTGGAGCGCCACCTGGAAGGAGATCTCCTGCAGCGTGCGCTCGGCGGCCTGGAGGTGCTCGTCGCGGCGCTGCGAGAAGAGGACCTCGATCGGCAGCTCGACCCAACCGTTGCGGCCGAGCATCAGCGCCTTGCGGCAAAACAAGCCGACGTAGTGCCGCGGCAAGCCGTGCCGCGTTGCCAACGCCGCGTTGAGCGTCGCCACGTAGACGCCCGCCTTGTGCGTCTTGCCGTCCGCGCGCTGCGTGTCCGCCGCCGCCTGCTGCCGCGCCGTCCCGTCGTCGAACCGCTTCTCGAGGATCGCGGAGAGGAAGGCGGCCTGCGCGTCCGCGCTCGCGAACGGGTCGTGGTCGGCCCACAGCGACTGCCGCTGAGCGGAGGAGAGCTTGGGGCCGATCTCGCCCACCATCCCGAGGAGCTGCGGCAGTGTCGCCTTCTTCTTGGCGGGCACCGGCCCGTCCTCGAAGCGGAGCTGGATTGAGGTCTTGCCTCGGCTGCTGGTGCGCACCACCGTAGCGCGGAGCGTGTGCCCACCCAATCCGACGCTGGCGGAAATGTCTGGCAGCGGCTTGTTGAGCGGCACCGCCGCGCCGCGGAGCAGCAGCGGGTCGCTCTGCGCCTTGAGCCAATCGAGCTGGGACACATCGAGGGCCGCGCCGCCGCCCTCGGGTGCTCCCGGCTCGAGCTGCGAGGCGAGCCGCTGCATGTCGATGAAGGCAGAGAAGTCGTCAACGGTCGGCGAGGGCTGCACCGCCTGCTGAAGCAGCTCGAGCGCTGCACTCGGCGTGGCGAGCCCGCGCGGGTCTTCGAGGCGGGGCAAGGGCAGCGCCGGCGGGTGGTCGGCGCTGCGCTGCAGCTCGTCGTCGGTCACGCCGCAGAGCTGGTCTGGCCTTGGCGTCACCTTGAACGCCTCCGCGAAGGACAACTTTGGCTTCATGAGCTGCCGCTCGGCTCCTCCAGCGCCCGCGTCTGCGGGCCTCTTCTTGCGCGGTTGGGCAGGCGCGGCCTTTTCCGGCGTCTTTGGAGGAGGAGCAGAAGACATACCTGCTGTCGCCACTGCTGTCGTGCGCGCTGTCGTCGCCACTCGCGTCGCCGCTTGGAGCTAAAAAAAGATTATGAACACCCAATATTGTGTGGAGGGGCGAGAAATATTGCGAATCGTCAATCAGAAGAACAAGGCGGGCGTTTATTTTTTATATTGCGTTTATTTTTGCCCCAGCCCTCATCTCTCGACAAATGACGTGTGAGTGTTAGATTTGTTTGGTATTGCTAAAAATCTCTCTCTCATCTCTCGAGGTTCTCGAGGTGGATATCCTTTGGCCGCGTTGGGTACTGAAATTCTGCAAAAACCTGACCGGTCCTCCCTGCGGTGCCCCTCCCTCCCTCCCTCCCTACCTAGGGGTGGCCTGCACAAGGTCTGAGCCAAAGGAAAGGAAAAGCGACGGGCTGCGAGAGGAAAAGTATATTCAGCCTAAGCTGGATACGACTTGTCGATCCAACTCCCAGGAAAGGAAAGGAAAAGAGACGGTGTGCGAAAGGAAAAGGAATTAAGAAATAACAGAAACACTTGGCCAAAAAGAGAAAAAACTTAACGGCCTCTCTCGCGTGAGTAATGTGCCTTGATTTGACAACAACAAACAATAAAAAAAGAAACAGGGCCTTTAACAGGGCCCCAAAAAGAATCCGGACGATAGTCGCTAGTGGAGAGAGATCGCCACTGGGATAGTGTGAGAGATGGAAAGGCTTCCGTTCGGACATGAACTGGAATTCGGACGCCAACTCGGACGACGACGAGCCGTCGGGCCGCAGCAGCTCCAGCGAGGACGCGACCGATGGCGAGGCTAAGGCGAATAATGCCGCCGAGGCAAGGCGGCGGCGGCCCGACGAACGACAGCGGCTTCAGCAGCGCCATCACGCTCAACGCTACCCTGGCGGCCAGGATGCCGCCACCGTGCCGTCGCTGCAACCTCCGCCGCCAAAGCGGCCTCCTCAGCCGCGGCCGCTTTCGCCGTTTGCATCGCACCACGACGCCGACCCGATCCCGGGCACCCGCCGTGGCGATCCCGCTCCCACCGCCGCCCCAGCCACCATGCTCGACCCAGACGGACTCCCCGGCCGGCCTCGCTCGACTCCGCTGCCGCCCGAGAGGCGGGTTGCGCTTGTCGGCTCGAGCGGCGGCTCGACGCAGCGAGGCAGCGTGCAGACGGCCGTCTCCGCCCTCGCCGCACAGCTCGCTGGCATTGGCCGCGCACACGAGGTCGACTCGTATGCGGACGAGGGCTGCGGCTGCGCAGGCGGGGCTGGCGGCCGAGGCTCCGGCGCCATCGACCTCTCTTTCCTCGTGTTTGTGGGCTGCGAGTCGCCGCTGGACGGCGCTCCAGGGCGCGCGACCGCCGCTCTGTGGCATCTAATTATTAGCATCCTCCTTTGCCACTCCTCCCTTACCCTCCTGCAGGCACGCGACCGCCTCGCTGTGGTGCTTCCCGGACGCGGCGCCTGCCGCCTCGGGGCGGGCCGCCGTCAGCAGGAGGGAGGGAGGACGACTCTCGTCACGAGACGCGGCGGCGGCGGCGGCGGCGGCTGCGGCTGCTTCTGCTGCTGGCGGCTGTCCGATCCCTCAGATTCGGATGCGAGGCGAGCTGCACGCTGTGAACCGGCTCGCGCGAAAGGCGGACGAGCGGCTGGCCGGCGTGATTGCGCGCGGAGACATCGACGCGCTCGTCCTCGTGTCTGCGGACGCCGGCATCGACCAACCGCTCCTCGCTACTGTCGGGAGCCTTCTCGGACCTTGCCTCGGAGCCGTCGCCTAGGCAGCACCAACCGCGCGTCGCTGCTCGCCGCCGCGGCGGCGGGCCTGCCCGTGGTCGGCACAGGCGGCAGCTCGCTCGGCGAGGCGGCGAGGATGGGGGTCTCTGTCTTGGAGGCGGGGGGGTCGGTCGGCACTACGCCGCGCTCCCGCGCCGTCGCGGCGGCCGCCGCTCTCGCGGCGCACTGGCGGCTGCCCTACTCTGTCCAGCTGCCGCCGCCGCAGCTCGGCCTCGGCCCTGTCCTCGACGCCACTCTCCCTGTCACTCTCTCGCTCAGTCTCTGTGTGGCCGCCGCCTCTGCCGCCACCGTCTTGCCTCTGCCGCCGCCGCTGCACGGCCGCATCGACGGCCTTCGCGCGCTGCTGCCTCTCGCTGCCGCCGCCGCGACGAGGGTAAACGGTGCCGCGGCCGGTGTCCACGCCGGCCGCCGCGCCGCGTCTCTCGACGGGGAGGAGGGCGGCACCGACGGCACGGGCGCCATGGCAGGGCTGCTCGCCGCCGCCCTCGCCAACGCCGCCGTCCCCTCCCTCGCCGCCTCGCTGCTGGCGGCCAGCCTCGCCGGCCTCGCTTGCCGCCGCACGCTGCCGCACGCGCTGCACTTGGGCCTGCCCGCCACCGCAGCGACCCTCTACACGGTTTGCGGCTCGGCGTGCGCAGGGGGCGTGGCCGCGCTGCTGCTCTCGCCCGCGTTCGCCGCAGCGACCCGCTCGCTCCTCGCCCTCCTCGCCCTCCCTGCGCAGCTGTGGTCGGGCGGCGGGGCCGGTGTCGTGCTCTCGCCGCTCCTCACCCAAGCCCTCACCCTGACCCTGACCCCGACCCCTGACCTCCTGACCCTCACCCTCACCCTCACCCTCACCCTCACCCTCACCCTCACCCTCACCCCCACCCTCACCCTCACCCTCACCCTCACCCTCACCCTGACCCTGACCCTGACCCTAGGTGCCGTGCTCTCGCCCCTCCTCGGCTACTACCACGCCGCGGTCCCCCCGCTCCTCCTCCTCGAGATACACCGAGATCACCCGAGATCACCCGAGATCACCCGCGGCGGCAGGTCCTCCCGCTCATCCTCCTCGAGATGGAGGGCGGCGCCTTCTCCGTCCTCGGCGCGCTCGACGCCGCGTGCCTCGAGCAGAAGAACGGCTGTGAAGAAGTAAGAGGAAACGCTGTGAGCAGGCTCGACCCCGCCGGGCCTAACCCTTGCCCCAACTCCAATCCTCCTCCTGCCCCAACCCCAACCTCAACCCCAATCCTATCCCGATCCCCGATCCTGACCCTAGGCGCGCTCGACGCCTCGTGCCTCTGCTGTGCGTGTGCGGGCGTGTGCGCCGCCGTCGCCGCGCGACCGACGAGCGCCGAGGAGGGCTCCGCGTGCCGCCGCGCGCTCGCCATCAACATCTGGTTTGGCGACTTTGTCGAGGCGCACAGCACGCCCGTACTTGGCGGCCGAGCAGCCGCGTCCACGACACGTCCTAGACACCTCCTTGGCGTGCCTGCACAGGCGTGCTACCCGTACATGGCGCGCGATGGCTACGTCCGCGCGGCAGCTCTCTGCGGCGCGCGGGCCGCAAAGGAGCCCTAGCAAGGTCCTCCGACCCTCTTCGGGACCTTCGCGGAACCACCCTCTCAGGCGCGGCCCTCGGAGGCGCGTTCGTCCTCCCCGCGGCGGCGAGGTCGAGCCGCCCACCGCCTCCTCGGAGCCAGGCCGGAGCCTGCCCGGACACCCCTGACCGGGCACCTTCCCCTGTGTAGGTCGAGCGCCTACTTGCCCATCCCCATCGCCACCGCCGTGTGCGACGCGCCGCTGCCCTTCGCGGCCGCGTGCGCGTCCGCTTTCCTGGTGCCGTTCGTGGGCACCCTCCTGCGCAGGATGCCGCCTCTTGCCGCGTGGGGGCTCCTCTCGGGCCTCTCCGACACCAAGGACGCCGCCGGCCCGTCGCGCCGCCGAATGTCTCTCTCGCGGTCGTCGTCGTGTCACTCGGAGCTCCCCTTCTCCGCCGCGGCCGATCAGCGTCACCAGCATTAGAGAGCTGATCGCCCTCTGTCGACCTACAGTGTGTGAAGTGTAATTCGCAGGGAGTACTCTCCATATCTAGTCGCTGCCTCGTACCACCGTCCTTCCTACGTCAGTACAGTACGCGAACGCGTAGTACTCTGCTACCCCTCGAGGCTGTACACACAGTGGGGCGGGGGAGGGTGCGCACAGGCCACAGCCATGCACATACCAGATACGGCTCTTTACCACCGGGGGAAAATGCATTCGAAAAATGCAATAATGCATAGCGGCTTGCACACCGGCGTAGAGCCGGCCGCCATCTTCATTATTAGGCGCCATCGAACCGGAAGTAGGTCGTGCCCTTGACAGACAGAGCTCAAGCCACCTCACTATACCCCGGCCGCGTGCACTCACTGTAAGGTGGACTCGTATCGCTTGGAGCCAGAGCAGCTACCTAGCCTCTCCCGAGTACACGGCACGAGCACGTTCCTGGAATGTTCCGGTAACAATTTTCTTTTTTGTGTTTTCGTTTTGTATTAGCAGCAGAACCGATTTTAACTTCTCACACACGCGCGCCGCCGGGGCTCGTGCCTCAAATAGGGAGCCGAATATGAACACGCTCGCACCAACCGTCGTTGAGCCGCTGCTGCGGCCGCCGCCTCCGACCTCGCCACCACCTCCTCCTCCCTCGCACACATCCCTGCATGGCCATTACGTCACCGAGCGCGTGAAGAACGCCGTTGATGGCTGTGTGAACGTTTTCGTTGACGCCGGTGCCAGCATAGGTGTTCACACGCGATTCCTCTTTGAGCCGGCATTTTACAACGACTCCAAGTTTGTTGCCGTCTTCGATCGCGTCTTTGGTGTAGACAGAAACCTCACTTGCTCGCTCGGCTTTGAGCCCAATCCGATACACAAGGCGCGCCACGAAAAGATGCAGCGCGTGTATGCTCGGATGGGCTGGAGGTACACGTTCTTCCCCATGGCGCTGGGAACGGCGTCGGAGGAGCTGGTCTTCCACGAGAATGGAGATTTCGAAGACAACGGCAAAGACAATGAATACTGGGGCTTCGGCGTGACGAACTTCAACGAAGCCTTCCGGGGGGCGAGCAACCGCACGGGGCAGAACCTGATAGTGCGCGTGCCGTCGGTCTCCTTTGACGAGATTCTTTCTCAGATCTCCCGCCGAGCGATGCCGTCCATCCATCCCCGTGGGCGCGTGATCGTCAAGATGGACATCGAGGGTTTGGAGTTTGCAGTGGTGCCTCAAGTCGTGGCATCTGGAAATCTCTGCAGAGTAGTCGACTGGATCAGTGTCGAGTGGCACCCCAAATTGGCTCCGCTGCGGCTGCACAGCAACCAGCGGCTGCACCTCGACACGATCTTGAACGCTCAAACAACCGCCTCGGTGCTCAAAGGTGCGATCAAAGATGGACTGCGGGCGGCGGGCTGCCGCACCGAGGTGCGGCCGATGGACGACGAGTCGTACCTCCACGACAGAGTGCCGCTGCCTGTGCTGGGAGGCGCGTTGTAGGCTATTCGATTGATTAGCTGAGTGTTGAAGGATCAGTCAGCATTCCGCGATTCCGCCTGCCAATGCATGTCCAGCGACTGATCACATCCATCTACCACGCAATCGTCATGCGCAAAACAGGCCAGCACCACCCGCACAATGGCGACAGCCCGCTCGACCCGGCTAGTGAATTGACAACTGGCAACTCACCGCGCAAACCTCAATCGCGAGGTATGTGGCACGTCCATGTACGGTCTGTGGCTCCAGACTACCAGTGCGGGCGTATGCGACGGCGGGCGTGGCTGTGGACGCGCTGTACGCAGCGGTGACGGAGGCGGCGGTGCGCGGCGGGCGGGCTGGCTTGGCTTCAACCCGCAGGCTTTGCGATCACGGTGTGGGCGTAGGCGACGGCGGGCCTAGCGGCGGGCGTGGCTGCGGACGCGCCGTACGCGGCGGTGACGGAGGCGGCGGTGCGCGCGAACGCCTGTATGCCATGCGCGCGGACCACGCTTGCGTGGATACGTGGCTGGCAGGCTGACCCGTGTGCGGGGTAACCCGCGCGACCTGCCCGCGGACATAGTTGACCACTTTGGCGGTGGCGATAACGGCGAGCGGCTTGTTGCGTCAGTGCTCGCAGAGTTGCTCGGCAGCGGCTACGCAGTCGTATCCGCGGTGCGCAGTGGCGGCGGTGGCTCGGACCACATGCCTCGCGTCCTTACTACGCGGAACAAATCGTCCCAACCTTAGGCGCCCGTCTCCGCCGCACCGGGAAGCTTCACGGGTTCGAGTTGCCAAACATTAAGCAGCGGAGGTGTGCCGAGGGGGACCGGGAGGCGGTAAGCCGTCGTCGCCCGGCGCTGCTTGCAGCACCGTGGCGATGGCGCTAAGAGGTTCCTCTTTTCCGCGCCCCCTCCGCAAGGCGCAAGGCGCGCGATATACGCGCGGCGGGCTACCTCTATATCCCCGTATCTCCCTCTGTCTTCGCGTATTCCCCTCTATCTCCCCGTATCTCCCCGTTCTCCCCATATCTCTGCTCCGCCGTCGGATACGTCCATGACGCGTCCTCGCGGCCGCGTCGCAGGCACGTTGACCTGCGGCACATCGAGGCGGCCGCGCTGGGGCAGTGCCGCCTGCCGCGGAAAGTTCGACGTCGAGTCGATCTCGATCGCTGCCGACGGCATCAGCGTCGGCTTGCTCAACGCGCCGATTCGCCAGGTCGCAGATCTGCTCGTCGGGGAGATGGGCCACATCATCTGCTACGGCGACTCGGTAGCCCGCTGCCACGCCCCCCGCCCAACCTGCCACGCCCCCCGCCCAACCTGCCGAGGAGAGGCGCGGTTCACGGTCTCGCGCGCGGTGCGATCAGGTTGCGGCGGTCGCCGTGTGCAACAAGGAGACGTCGCACCTCACGAAGCTGCGCGGCGTGGTCCAGCTGCTCAACGCCGAGATCAGCGCGCGCGCCACGCTGGTCAACGTCCTCCTCTGGCCTTTTGGCGCCCAGCTGCTCCTTGGCAAGGCCCTCTGGCACGTGACGTGCACCACCTTGACATGTCCGCGTGTGCTGTACCATTAGGCGCCTCTCCGTTCCCGCGCGAAGTGGACCCGAACTTGGCGGCCGTCGAGCGCGCGCGCGCCGACATCGCAAAGCTGAAGGAGGTCGGGATAGAGGCGGAGCTGGGCGAGGGGCGGTTCGACCACATACACGACGAGAACGGCGATGGAGTCTACCACGTTTGGGCGGGCGCGGATGGCGGCGGAGGGAAGTACGTGAACGGGATCTACCAGCCGAACCACATGGAGAACGACGGGATCGTCTCGAAGCTCGCCACCGAGACGCTGGAGGAGCGCGCCCGCGGGAATTGACTTGGCCAATGTGGACGCAGTGGCAGAGTAAAAGTTAGAGAGGCGCGGACTCTTTGAGGCGAGCTGGATCTTTATTTTCTTGAGCACTTGAGCACTGGATAGGGTCGATTCCGCATGGTACGGGACCCCTCGATCGTCTCGCCCTCCCTCACTGGTGTGTTCATTGGGGGGGGTCATAACAAACACGGTACAGGATCGAGAGGTGCACGCTGCCGAAGCAGTGTCGTCCCCCCTCTCCCCGACGGCGATGGCGGTGTGACCGATCGAGCTACAAGAGGAGCTTGTTCAGCAGGATCCGGGGTAGTCAGATGCACTACCTCACTGGGCCTGAGATCACCGTACGACGCCTCCCATCACCGTCTCGGGTTTGTGTGGGGTCGAACCACTCCGGGTACCGGGATGGGCAAGCCCATCAATTAGCACCATCTGGTTAATTGTCAAAATTCCTGTTGTGCAAGAGGGGAGGGGGCTCTGACGGAGTGTGAGGCGGGAGAGGGCAGGGAATGGGCGCGGGGGAGGGAGGGGGGGGGGGGGGGCTCAGCCGTGCAAAAAGCATCAATTAATAATAGTAAGGAAGACATATTGCGCGGCCGTTCATGAAGTCCGTCTCGATTTTGGTTTTTTTCCCACAGACCACTCGGGCAACTTTTACGAAAGGCAAAGTTTTACTTGACCACTCGGGCAGATTCGATTGCATTTTACCACTCGGGCAAACTCGATGAAACGGACGGAAAACGCGTTTGCGAGGGCTCGCCGGAGAGCTATGTATGGAGCGGCCGGTGCGCCGCCGCAGCTCACCGATGGAGCCTGCGTCGCGGCTCAATCCACTGACGCAGCAGCACTGCGACACACTCTCCAAGCACGGCCTCTGGCGTTGCGATTGCACAGAGAGCGAGCAATAGGCGCCAAAAGCACAGATCTGTGTGCAGTGGATCTCCATGTCGGTCGCGCCCAGCGAGAGGACAACCGCGGGCCTCGGATGCTCGCCCGGACGCGAGCCCACCGTGCGAGTTGCGGACCCGGAGGCGGCCGGCCCAGCTCACCCCCAGAGGGGCCATGCCCAGGGTCAGGCATAAAAGGGGGGGTGTTTTCCGTCCGTCCATCTTTTTCCTCATTTTCTTTGCTCATTGAGTTATTGTCGTTTTTCATGCATGAAATCTATCGAAAGAATCGTGCGTCGACCGTCGTGCCACAAGATGTGTGGTGCACCCCGTGTCCAGGCCCGAGGCCGCGGGCGGGCAGCCGGCGTGCGCGTCGCGCGTGGAGGGGTTCGGCTGCCGGATACGTCAGTATGGTACGGCTCTGAGTCGCCTCTGGGGAAATTCTAAAGAGAAGGTGTCCTCTGTCCAGTGGTGTGCCACCCATGCTGCATGCACGACCGGGTGCAACTTTGTCCGACTTTGCGGAGTGCGAGGCAACAGAGTGGCGAGCGCAACAGGGAGCCGCGGACGCCGCCAATGACGAGGGAGAGATGCGAGAAATCACCATCGCTCAGGTGCGCACAAACGCAGCCGCGTCGCCAAAGCCGCCGTCGAGGCCTCGCGCATCGTGGCAAGGGGCGTCGCCAGATGGATGAAGGCCGCGGGCCTCAGCAAATGGACCGGAGCAGTCAGAGGCGACAGGGAGGCCGAGTCCGAGGAGGAGGAGGAGAAGGAGGAGGTAGAGGGGGAGGGGGAGGAGGAGGAGGAGGAGGAGGAGGAGGAGGAAGAGGAAGAAGAGGGATCAGATGAGGGGGACGAGGAGGCGGACGAAGACGGAGGAGATGTTCATTCACGGCCACACGAAGAGCGCTCCACCCCCTCGGCACCGCCGCCTGAGGTCCTCTCGCTGGCGGACGCTAGCTTCGACACCGGCCGTCGAGAGACGAGACGCTCCCGAGTCCACCATAGGTGGCCAGACTACGTGTATCGTGTGCTTCACTAGGCCGAAGTCGCACGTCGCTGTGCCGTGTGGCCACCAGTGTGTCTGTGGCCCCTGCTCCGCTCGGCTGCGAGCGTGCCCGTATTGCCGCACGCCAGCCGAGCGCTGGTGCGTGGTGGCACGTCCGCGTGGTGTGAGATCGCGGTTGGGTTTCCCGCAAAGTTTCCGGGTTGCAGCCTTGGCCGTTGCGGGTTTGCGAAAAAACGCTCGAGTAGTACGTAGTGACTAGTGCAGGGGCCTGGGGAGCGTTTAACGGTTTTGAATTCCGTGTATATCTTATGCAACGAGACGTGATCCGTTCGGAGGTCCCCTGATGCTGATCCACAATCCACCCGCACGGCCGCACACTATATACGCACTCTCCTACGCGTGCTCCGCGGGAGCGGACGGCCTCCACCGCCGAGAATCACGCGCAAGGCTTGCGATTTGCGGACGATGCTGCCGCCGCCGCCACGCCCCGGCCCAGCACAAACCCGCCGGCAAAGCGCAGGCCCTTTTGCGCCGCCGCGGCGAGGCCCTGTGGCCCGAGGCGGAAGGCCGCCGTGCTCGCAATCACCGCCACGCTGGCGACGACGACCGCGGAGTACTTGTCCCGGGTGCACGGCCGCATCTGCCTGAAGCCGTGCGTGAGGCCGACGATGACCGGGAGGAGAGGCCTGTGCCACGGGAGGAGAGGGCGGAGGGCGGTTACATGATGTGCTCACGCCTGAGATGGGCCCTCGCCAGCCACACACGCGCCTTGTGACGCCCTGGGACGACGTGACGATCGACCACAGCATCTCGGTGGAGATCAGGGCGGTGCCGAGCCAGCGCCTGGAGGAGGCAGGGCCGCGGGGAAGGTTGGGAGGAGCGGGCCTCGGAGCCGGTGTGGCTACGTCCAGTACGGCTCACCCGCAACACAGCGCTGGTGGGTCGGCGCGGCGCAAAGTGCGAAGGGAAGAGTGCTTTTGCTGGTGCTGCGCGGCGCGGCGAGAAGGGAGAGGGTGCGCACACACCAGGCGCACGCCGCGACGAGGAAGCCGCACCAGAGCTCCGCCGTGTCGCCGTGCAGGAGGATGGCCCACCCGTACAGGCAGACGGGCAGCGGCAGGTGCAGCAGCACCTCGAGGTCGCCTCGCGTGAGGCCGCCGGGGAGGCCGCCGGGGAAGGGCAAGCCGCCCGCGTCGGCGGCGAGGAACGGGTTCGGCCGCGCGAGGTGGGTGGACATGAGCATCGCGAGGACGAGCGGCGCGAGCTGCGACGTCGTCGTCCACAGCTTCGGCGCCGCCGACAGGGGCGGCCCACAGGACGAGGGCGAGGGCCCACAGGGCGGGTGGGAGGCGAGGTGCATCTGCCCCACCAGGCCGAAGACGAACGGGGCGTGGAAGGTGCACAGGGCGGCGAGGTAGCCGAGCTGGCCCGTGCGCGCCACGAGCGTGAGCATGGCCGCAAGGTGGAGCGCCTGCGGGGCGAGAGAGGGCAGGCGGACTAAGCGCGCACGCCTCTGTCGGAGCCTCAGTCTGCTGGAGCCTCTGCTCTGACTCTCTCTCTCTGCTCTCTCGGTACCTCGCGGCTGTGTCTCTCGGCTGTGTCTCTCGGCTGTACCTCGGCTGTCTCTCTCGGCTGTGTCTCTCGGCTGTCCCTCGGCTGTGTCTCTCGGCTGCACCTCGGAGACGAGGGCGACGAGCCAGCGCTCGGCGCGCGAGAGAGGCTGCTCCGAGCCGAGCGTCGCGCCAAGCGTGAAGCCGGCGAGGCAGGAGCCGATGTGGACGAGCTCGGGCGGCTGGGCGGCGAAGTAGGCGCGGATGAGGGGCACTGGCAGGGCGGAGACGGAGGCGAGGACGAGCGCCGCGTGAATGACGAGGCACGCCTGACGGGGAGCAGGAGGGGAGGAGGAGGGGGGGGGGTTGTGTGTGCGTGCGTGCGTGCGTGCGTGCGTGCGTGCGTGCGTGCGTGTGTGTGTGTGTGTGTGTGTGTGTGTGTGTGTGTGTGTGTGTGTGGAGGGTGGCGGCACGAGATGAGAGGGGAGGGGGTTGCTGGCGCACCGCCACGGCCGCGCTGAAGCGGCGTCCGAATCCGAGCATGGCGTGGGCGCAAGCGAGGGCGGGGAAGAGGAGGAGGGGGAGGAAGGCGTGCAGGGGGTGGTCCGCGCCGCTCTCCCTCCTCTCCCCGTCTGTGTCGAGAGGGGGAGAGGCGAGCGCGAGCGACTCTGCCCGCACAGCAACCCAAGGCCCGAGATATGTGCCTGGGGGGGGGGGGGTCAGGTCATCGACGGGTCATGGACGTGTCCAGGTGACACGACCCCCCCCCCTCCCCCGACCCGACGTGCACCGACGGCCAGCACGAGGAGGACCGCGCCGAAGCCCAGCTGCGCCGCCCCCCCGCCCGAGAGGTCGCCGCACGCGGGCAGCAGCGCCGAGCTGCCCGTCGGCTCAGAGGGCCAGCACGGCCGAAGCGCCGGCGCGGTGTCCTCCGGCGGCGGCGTGGGCGCTGGTCCGGCCGGTGGCTCGGGGGGAGAGGGAGGCAGGCTGATGCCGGGCGCGAGGCGCGAGCTTGACGAGCTGCCGACCTTGACAAAGGCACTTCCCGCCGCGCCCGGCATCGACGGCACCGCCGGCGCAAGCAAAGCGATTCCCCCAGGGACGCCCCCAGGGACGCCCCCAGGGACGCGTCCAGGGACGCGTCCAGGGACGCGTCCCTCCTCGAGGCTGGTCTCGCCGAGGATCGCCTCGCACGAGGGCCTCTCGTTACTCACGTCGCTGCTCATCAGCTCGACGAGCGCCTAAAGACATGTCGCGGACACGTCATGGACGTGTCCTGGACATGCCTCTCGCTGCTCCTCAGCTCGACGAGCGCCGCGGCGGCGCCGTAGAGGTAGGCCTATCTCCCCACGGGGAACAACGTGACCGATGGCCGATGAGCCTTGATGTGGCGGCACTCCTCCCCTACCACCTAATACTGGAACCCACGACTGGGACTCGTCCGTCCCTCCCCTACCCCCACGGTACCGAACCCTCTCGCGGCAGAGGGAGGTGTGCCTCGTCAGCGACGCGGCGGCAGCAGCAGCTACCGTCGGACGCGTCGCCGCCGCACCGGCCGCAGCACTCGAAAGGCCTCCTCTCGGAGCTCTCGGAGCTCTCGGCCGGCGGCGGCGGCGGCGGCGGCGGCGGCGGCGGCGGCGGCGGCGGCGGCGGTGCTGGCGCTGGTGCCGGCGGCGGCGCGGCGTCGGGCCAATAGCGGCGGCCTGGCTTGACTCGCGCCTCGACGTTGGGGAAGGTGTTTGCGGCGGGCCGGCTCGCCTGCGCTTGGGCCTGCGCTTGGCTCGCGACCCACGCCTCGAGTGTCGGCGGGTCCCACGCGCCGCCGCGGTTCGCGACCCACGCCTCGAGTCGCTGCGGTGTCGGCGGGTCCCACACGGTCTGCGCCGCCGCCGCCGCCGCGAGGCCGGGAGGGCCGGCGGCTAGGCCGGCGGGGGGGATGGCGGGGGGGCCGGCGGGGGGGGCGGCGGGCGGCGCCCGCGCCGCGGCGCCGAAGGCGAAGGCCCGCTTTGATGTTGCGGCGGAGGCGTTGTCCGCGCCTCCAAGCACCTTGGTCCGCTCCGCCACCGCACTCAAGATCTCTTGCTCCTTTGCGGTGAGTAGCTCGCGCTCCCCCTTCCCCCCGGACGCCGCGGCGCGAGGCGTCTGCACTTCCACATTGTGGAAGATTTGGGAACATGATGGCGCGGCGGGCGGCGCACCCCCCGCGAGGGCAGGGAGCGGCGGCGCGGCTGGCGTGGGGGCGTAGCCGACGTGGGTGGTGACCGTCGGCAGATAAGCGCCCGCGAGCACACCCGCGACGATGTGGTGGGGCGCCGGATACCCATTCTCCAGGATCGCGAAGGGCGCGCAGGGGTAGGCCGCGACGGCTGCGGAGTATGTCGAGGCCAGCGCGGCGAGGTCGGCGGGGGAGGGGTTGGGGGCGAGCGCGGGTGGAGGCTGGGCCGCCAAGTGCTGCTGCCAGCCCGCCACGGACTGCTGCCCCCTGTCGTTGGCTAATCTCGCTGAGTGCGTGTTGCGCGGCTGGAGGTTCAGGCAAACCCGCGCGCGGCACACCTTCTTGCGGAGGCCGCTCCCACCAAAGCTGATCTTATCGCGGCACTCGCGGCACACGCCGCAGTCTGTCTTCCACTGGCAGCCCGCGCACTGGGCACAGCGAGCTCTGGCGGCTCGCTTGAAGCTGAAGGTTGGCTTCATCATTGGTAGGTCTCTTCTTGACCCAAACGCTGTATCTGAAAGACGCGGTCCAAGAAGGTAGTCGGTTATTCTTGAGAAGAAAAAAGAATTTCAGGCAGCGCTGACTGTGCCTGCCAGGCACGTAAAATCTTCCCTTCAACACGTGCCTACTGCACGTGCGGTCTACCTAGGTCAAAAATGACCTCTGCACAGGATCAAATCCGGATCAGTCAGCTCCCAAGAGAGTTTTTGCGGCGCCACGCCCGGTGGCCAAACCCAACCCGAACTCGCCGCCGCCCAGCAGCGCGCGCGGAGCCACGGCTTCTCGGCGCCAGCCTGTGCCGGCGCGCCGCTCGCAGCGGCAGCCTCGGGCGCCACAGTAGCCTCCTCCCGATGGCGCGCAGAGCCTGCGCGCGGCTCGTCGTCTCGCCGCGCCCCCGCGGCCTCGAGCAGCACCACTGCCTCTGCGAGGCCAGCCGCGCTCGCGACGCGCAACGGCGTGCGCCCGAGCTGGTCGCGCCGATTCGCGTCTGCGCGCGCGGCCAGGAGCAACTTGACGACGGCTAGAGCGTCCGGCCGCACCCTCCGCCCACCTGCAGCCACGTCCGCCGCGGCGCCACCCGCCGAGCTCTCCCCCGGCGCCTGCCTCGTCGCCTCTGCTGCCACCGCCTCGTCTGTCTCCCGCCGCTCCTCCCCGCCCCCAGGCCCCTCGCCCCCTCGCCCCTCGTCCGCATCGCCGCCGAGCACGCCAAGTGGAGCGGCGCGCTGTACACGTGGCCGAACCGCTCCGTGTGCGCCCGCTGCGGCCGGCGGTTGCCGTCGGGCCCGCCTCGAGGAGCAGCGCCACCACCCGCTCGTGCGCGCGGCAGCACGCCCAGCAGAGCGGCGACCTATCTCGGCTATATATCGGCTATATCTCGGCTATATCTCGGCTATATCTCGGCTATATCTCGGCTATATCTCAGCAGAGCGGCGACCTCCCCCACCGGTCAGAGGCGTCGCAGCGCGCTCGCGCGTCGAGCAGCAGCGCGACGCACTCGGCGTGGCCGCCCCATGCCGCGTGATAGAGCACCGTCCACTTGGACGTGTCCCGCGCCTAACCTCAGCCCGTCTCGGCTACTCTTTGGGTGGCGGTACAGCGTCGTCCGCTCGGACGTGCCGCGCGCCTGCAGCAGCCGGAGCGAGGCAGCGTGACCGCCAGCTGCGGCGAGGTGTGCCGCGCTCGCGTGCGAGTGGCTGGAGAGGCGGACCGTCACGCCCGCCGCAGCGCGTCGCGAGCACGTCCACGTGCCTGCAGGAAGGTTCCGAGAAGCTTCCGAGAAGCTTCCGAGCAGGTCCGGTGCGGCCACGCGTCTCTCGCGCCCGACGGCGCGCACGAGCGGCGTCATATCTCGGCTATCTCTCGGCTCTATCTCTCGGCTGTCTCTCGGCTGTCTCTCGGCTATCTCTCGCCCGACGGCGCGCATGAGCGGCGTCGGGCCCCGCGCGGCGCGAGAGGCGCCGCCGTCGGCCGAAGCGCGAGCGGCGAGCAGCGCCGCAACCAGCCGGGCGCTGCCGGTCGCGGCGGCCGCGCCGAGCGCCTCGGTCGCGAGCCGCCTCAGGTCCTCCTCCTCTGGCAGCTCCTCCTCGCCCGCCGCGAGGAGCTTGTCGGCGTCTGCCGCCGCGGCGGCCCTCCCCCGCCGCCGCCCTTGCCGCCACCCCCTCCGCCGCCCCCTCCGCCTCTTCCGGCCGCGCCTCGGAACCAGCCTCCCCCTCTGCCGCGACCGCCGTCCTCGCGCCGGACGTGAACACGGTGAAGGCGGCGGCGGCGCGCGGCGAACGGCTCGGCGGAGGAAGCGCCGCCCAGCCGAGCCACGCACAGTAGTCGCGCAGCCTCGGCTTGCGGTACAAGCCGCACAGCCGCGTCGCGAAGCGCTGGTTGCCGCGCTCAAACGAGTCTCTGCCGTGCTCCTCGCCCGGCGAGCCCTGCAGCAGCCCGTATCTCTACCAGTATGCATTTTTAAAGCAGCCGTATCTCGAGGCAGCGTATCCCCCGGTATCTCCCCGTATCTCGTATCTCCCGGTATCTCCCGGTATCTCCCAGTATGGTATCCCGCAGTATCCCGCGGTATCCCGCGGTATCCCGCCATATCTCGCCGCGGATACCGTGAAAAAAATCGTCCAGACCAGGGACATGCATGGCGGGGTGCTCGCCAGTCGCCTCCCGGTGCTCCGTGTCCGGCGAGCGGCGTCACCTGCGGACCTGGTTCCTGGTGCTCTGGTCACCCCTGCTCGCGCTGAGTTGCTGCGACGCTCTCGGGGCGGGGCCGGGCGGCCCCCCCGCTCGCTCTACACCTTCGAGTTCGACGACCCCTTGGGCCGTCCGGAGTTGATTTCTCGGTCTGTGGGGGGCCGAGCCGCCTCGGGGTGGCGGGCGGGCGGGCGTTTTGAAAAACAGAAAACAGAAAACATGGGGGGGCCCGGGGCCCAGGCCCCCCCTCTGGGAGCAGAAAACACGCCCAAGGGGGCCAAGGAGGCGGCGCGGGGGAGCAGCATCAGGTGAGCGCAGGAAGGATGGCGCTTAGGCGTTAGGGTCGGCTTTGAACAAGGATTTCCAGGTTTTAGATCACGATTGGTGTCGGCACACATCCCCACAATGAGGATTGAGGTCAGCGGCGCCCGGCGCGCAGTGCCTCTCTCGCAGGCTGATTTTGGCTGTTTTCAGCTTGTTTTTGTTTTCAGACTAGGGGGCCCGACCCCCTCAGAGGGGGCGGGCCCGGCGCCCACAGACCGAGAAATCAAGTCGGGACGGCCCCTTGCGCTTTGGCCCGATGAGCGGTGTATTTGTCCACACACAGGGGGAGGTCAGGACTCAGGCTGTGTGAGCGCACCGTGCAGGGCTCTCTCTGCCCTCTGCGGCTCTGCGCTCACCGCTCCTGGGTGCCCTCTCTCTGGCGGCTGCCACACCCACAGGCACAGCGGTGGCCGGTGGCGGTGCTCAAAAAAGTCTACCGTATGTGAGAGCACACAGTCACAGGTAAATCTCAGGTACGGCCGCGAACATCCGGCCATCTCCTCAAGCGACCGACGGCGCTCGGGGCGGCGGAGCTTGAGGAGGCGACAAGCTCGGGACCGGGAATCGGCGCCAACGCGCGAGCAGCGCGGCGTCGGCTGGCGGAGTCGGCTGGCGGACTACTCCTGCGGGCGAGTGCCGATGGGGACCTCCTCCTCCTCCTCCTCTTGCGGCGAGGACTGCGGCGAGGCAGCCTCCGTCGCGCCGCTCGCCTCCTGCTCCTGCTCCTGCTCCTCGCGCTCCCCGTCGCTGCCCGCCCCCTCCTCCTCCGTCGGCTCAGTCGCACGCCGCTCCGCAATCGCGCCCAACCCCAAGCTCGCCGACAGGTTGCGCTTCGTCGGCGACGGCACCGGCGGCGCGCCCGCCACGCGCGGGCTCGAGCGCGGCTTGCGACCCCCGGGCCCGCGCCCTCCGGCCGCCGGCGTCGCGTCCTCGTCGGCGTCGTCCTGCTCGCGCGGCGGCGTCGGCGGCCGCATGTGGTCGACCTCCTCGCAGCGCAGCCACGCGTCCTCGATCTCTTCGACGGGGAAGATCATCTTTGGCGTGATCTCGAGGTCCTTCCCGATGAGCAGGATCGCGCCCGCGTTCTGCCACCGGTTGCAGTAGTTTGTCGCCGAGAAGACGGTGACGAGCTTGCCGCCCGCGAAGCGCTGGAAGCCGTCCATGACGCACTCGTGCCCGCGCACGATGAGCTTGAGCTTGTTTGCGGCGAGGAAGGAAGCGACGCGGTCGGGCCTGGCGAGGGATGGGGGGAGGGCGTCGATGCACCCGCGGCTTGCCGCGAGGAGGGAGGGGACGCGACGGCGCTTATCTCGGCTGTATCTCGGCTGTATCTCGGCTACATCTCGCGCCCAAAGCAGACGACGGGCGACCCTCGCTCATCGTTCATGTGGACGCCTAGAGGTGCGGGGAGGCGCTCGGGGGAGGAGGGAGGGAGGCGCTCGCTCGTCGGCCGATGTGGGGCTCGCCCTCCCCGGCGGACCTGGTCTCGGCCACCTCTCGGCCACCTCTCGGCCACCTCTCGGCCACCTCTCGGCCACGTATCGGCTATGTGTGCGCGCCCTCCACGGCGTCGGACTTGGTCGGGTCGGACCAGAGCAAGTCGAGCATCAGCTCCGCGTGCTGCCCGCCTGCGGACAGGCCGTCTCGGACGTGTCGTGGACGCGTCCTGGGCGGGGCATGAGCCGTCCGCGCGCTGGCCACCCACGCGCAGCGGCCGCTGCATCTCTGCAATCTGCTCGAGCGAGCACAGCGTCTTGCCGATGCCTAGAGAGAGGCCAGCCCCGAGGCGGGTCACAGGACCGCCGCCTTGCCGAGGCGTGCGCTGTCGGCGCGACGCTTCCTCCGTGTACGCACAGGATGCAGCCGTTGACCGTCGCCGCCATCGGCAGCCACTCGAAGAGCAAGTTGAGGCGGCGCCAGACAGCGACGCCTGGCTTCTTGCCGCCGAGCCGCAGGGCGCACTCGTGCAGGAAGCCGTCGCGCGCATTCACCTGGCCGAGGGGAGAGGGGCGGGCGGGCGAGGGGCGAGGGGCGGGCGGTGCGTGTGTGTTTGGTCTGCTGTGCCGGTGCCCTATTCATCTGTGACGTGGCTGGGTGTAATAGAGGTTGTCAGAGGGGGTGTCAGAGGGGGTGGTGCCCGAGAGAGTCTTGCGGCCAGTCTTCGCCTCGGGAGACTAGCGATTGCCGAGATCTCGCCGAGATCTCGCCGAGATCTCGCCGAGCTCTCGCCGAGATCTAGCCGAGCTCTGGCCGAGCTCTCGCCGAGATCTCGCCTCGGGAGACTCGTGGTTGCCGCGCACAAGGAAGACAGCGCGTGGGTGGGCCGCCTAGGCACGGCGGTGCGATGCGCGATGGTGATGACACACGTAATGGAGGTAAGGCCGCGAGATGGCGGGCCTTGAGGGCGAGCAGCAGGACGACCGTCTCGAGGGAGTGCTTGCCTGGAAGTGGCGGCGAGGGGGAGGAAGTGGCGTCGGACCGAGAGAGTGAGAGACAGACAGAGAGACAGAGAGACACACGAGAGGAGAGAGAGGCAGCGGCGAGCTCGGAAGCGGTGCGCTGCTCGCCTCGGTCGACAAAGTCCCCCAGGAAGAGGTAGTCGATGATGCCGATGTCGCCGCCCTCCTTGCGCGGCACTCCGTACGACTCGAAGAGGCGCATCAGGTCAGAGTACTGACCGTGCAGGTCCCCGAAGACCTGGACAAGACGAGGCCGCCTTTCAGACCACCCCCCATGTCTACGTCTACCCCCCGGTGCAGCTCCCCAAACGCCTTGACCGGTGCCGAGAGCCGCAGCAGCGTCGGCTCCGCCTGGCAAGAGCAGGGCGAGAGCAGGGTCAAGAGCAGGGCAGCGTCAGGCGGGGAGGGCGGGGAGGGGTGGGGCGCGGCGGCGCGGCAGCGGTGACAGCTACAGCGCGTCTGGGCGGTGCGCGGCGAGGCCCCGGCGCCCAGCGGCCATCTCGGCAGCGGTGGTTGCATGGCGGCGGAAGCTTCTCGGAATGTGTGCCCTCGCCTCGAGCAGCGGCTGCACGACGTCGCAGAGGCGGATGACGTCCTCGGGCTCGAGCGGGAACTCGCTCTTCTGCGCGGCCGGCTGCGCCGCCCACTCGCGCGGCCGCAGCAGCAGGTGCAGCACGCGCCGCTCCACCGAGTCCTCGCTCGGCATCCGAACCTGCCGGGCGGTGCAACCGCGGGGGTGAGAGGAGGGGGGAGGCGGAGGGTGCGCGCGCGCACCCTCGGGGCCTCGCGGCGGCGGGCGCGAGGGCGCGCACCAGCTTCGACGCGCGGGTCAGCCGCTTCCCCTCCTCTGGAAGCCGGTCAATCGAGATGGTGCGCGAGAGCTTGCCGTGCATGTTGGAGACGACGGCTCGTCGGGCGAGCGTCGGCGAGGTGGAGCGGCGGCGCTTCGGCGCGGGCGCCGGCGCGGGCGGCGCGGAGTCGCTGCTCGAGGCAGCGGACGACGAGGCGCACATGTTGTCAGGCAAATAGATGGCTAGTGATCGCTGAGCCAGCGCGAGAACGCCGCATTTTCTTTTTATTACAGCGCCTTCCCAAAGAAAAACTTTTTGGGTGGGAGGCGCCCGGCGGCCGCGCGCTTGGTGCCGACGTCGACCGGCTGCTCTCGGCGCCGAGGCGTGCCGCTTCGGTCACGTCACGCGCGCTGCGAGGTGTCTTTTGGCATGTGAGCGCTGGCAGGAAACGCCAAGAAGCTGGTCTTTCATGTCTGCGGCCGCGGGCGTGCGGGCGGGCTCGCCGGGCTGGGCGAAGCTCCGAGCGGGTCTTCGAGCTCGCCGCCCGCGAGGAGCCAGCATGGCTCGTCGCTCGACGGGAGCCTGCCCGGCATGCTCTGGGCATTCTGTACAGCCTCGCCAAGCTGTCTGGGAAGGCCTACAGAGCCAGGGCGGGCTGCCTCGGGCGCGGATGGCGCGCTGAATAGTACCATGACTACGAGCTCTCGATCGGGTCGCCGGCAGCGGGCTTGCGCGGCGTGCTGCTCGACGGCAGGCCGCTCCCCACCCTTTCGACAGTGTCTTTTACCTCGCTGCTCTCGCTGCAACCGCCTGCGGGGGCCAGCGCCGGCCGCCTCGCTTCGCCAGCGCACCCTACGCCTACGACACGCGCATCGGCTCGCCGCCCGCGTCGCCTGCGGCGGACCCGCGTGGCGCGACGCTCGTCGGGAACGTGCTCAGCAGGCTGTGCAGCGCAGCCTGACTCACTCAGAGCGCCGCTGATGCGGCGTGGGGCCGCCGGCGGCACTGCTGCCGCGCACGCTGCGCTGTGGGCGTCACCATCGTGTCCTCGCCGCGTCGCCGACGCCACTTGCGGCTCGCGGCTGCCCTGCCCTTCCCTGCCATCGCGCAAACACACACACACACACATGCACACACACACACACACATTATTAATGATCGGGTAATAATTATTAATTATTAATCATCGGGCGGCGGCGCGGCGCGGCGGCGGGCGGCGCGAGGCGGCGGCGCGGCGAGGCAGCGGGCGACGCAGGGCGGGGCGGCGGGGCGGCGGGTGGGGTCATTACTTAATTATTTATTAATAATGAATTAATAATCATCGGGCGGCGGCGCGGCGCGGCGGCGGGCGGCGCGGAGCGGGGCGGCGCGACCATCTGTACTGACCGGGGCCTCTGGCCTTTGACGCGGCGCAATGGTCGCGCCGCCCTCGACTCAAGGGGCTGCCTTCCACCCGTAGCTGCTCAGGCCGGGGGAGGGGGGAGACCTCTGTTCCTCGCGGAACGGGAGCAGGCCCCTCCTTGCCCGGTCTGCGATGCAGGGCGGTGGTCGTGCCATCTTCGCTTCGTACAGACAACGACCACGCCGCAACCGTCGCCGGCGCGCGACACGTTCCCGTAGGCAGGACTGCCCTCGTCGAGAGTGTGTGCCGCGCAAGGCGGGACGCACTCAGAGACAGAGACGGGACGCGGCTCGAGAGACGACTCCCGCGAAGGCACGGCTGGCATCCGTGGCGTGGGGCTCGCCTTCGAAAAGTCGGGCATGGCTCTACCCGCATTTTTCTCGCTAACACGCGCGCACCACCGAGCCTGCGGTGGGCGCGCTGCGGCCGCACGTCTATCTCCGTCATAGTGCCACGACGTGCGGCCTAGATTTAGCACACGCGCCTCTGCTCGCATACACTCATACAATGAATTGTCATCACCCGTGAGTGCGAGATAGGGCTAGCAGTAGGCAGCTAGCCTGTGAGGAGGGCGTCCATAGACACCTCACTAGACCCCACACACGGTCTCGTCCGTGCCTCGCCGGCCGGTGAGATTGCTAGAGGCGGAGCGGTCTGCTCTAGCCTCGCACGTTACTCCCTGTCACCTGTCTGTGTTGTTGTGCTCTTGTTTGTACCCTTGGCACCGTGTGTGCTGGGGGGGGCGACAGGGAGGACGTGGCCCTGAGTTATGTGTACGCCAACTCAGGGTGTGTGGCAGCCCGCTGGCTGTGTGTCTTGTGAGCCTGTTTGTGTCTGTGTGTCGCTCGTGCGTGCCGTCATCATCTGTCCAGCGTCCACCCATACCGCGTTGGTGTCCAGTCCGAGCCTGGCTGTTCTTCACCTTCCTACATACATAATGTGCTGTGAGAGAGAGGCTTGTATTGTAAGAATTCTTTTTCTTCTGCGGAAGCCAAATACCTATGTTGTCACCTAGTTCCGTTCTCGCGCCCGGGTGTGTTCGATTGTAAAAAATCGGCAATAGGGCGCCCAGGGGCCGCCCCTGGCCGCCCGCGCGCACACAAAAATACTCCGCCGCCCCGAACGCCCCCAGAAAACAACATACTAGCCCAACAAGCGTCACAAGTTTACGTGATTTCGGCGGAAAATTTTCTTTTTATGCTGTGAAAATTCCGCGCGAAGAGAGGGAAAACCCCGACGGGAGGGCCCAGACCTACCCTACCTTCCCCGTCATTCTGTCCGCATAAAGCAAAAAAAGAATTTAGCTGAGCAGGCGGGTAAAAGACAAACAAGAGAGAGACGGCTCGCGGCAGTTGAGAGAGAGATTTTTAGGAGGCCAATGGTCCACAATTCACAACGCTTCCAACCAATATTGTGTACCAGAGAGATAGGAAAAGAAAGAAAGAAATCAGACACGCCAAACGAGGGATGGGACGAGGACAAGGTCCCCACCTGCACGAGCAGGATTTTGGAAGGACGATCAGGGGGACAGGTGGGGCTCTCCTGCTCCTGACAAGGGACACGACAGGCTCGCAGCGCGGTGCGCGGTGGACTCCCACATCCACTGGCGGTCTCACCAGAGAGATAGGTGTGAGAGCTGTGGGAGCGGCCTCTTTCTTCAACTGAGCCAGTTGGTTAGAGCGCGTGTGGGTGGTTGCTACTTTCAACGATCGGCGTCGTGTTGGTCGCCCTGGGGGGCCGGGTTTCGGCGTCACATGGCGCTGGCCAAAGACGGCTCGTAGCACACCTTGATCGATCAGCGCCGGTTTTTTGCAACCGACCTAGCTCGCCCATCTGTTCCGACGGCCGCCCTTCTTCTCATCGCCGCTGCCGCTGACCCTCGCCCTGCCGCCCTGCCGCCAGGCGCAATCGCGTTGTGGGACGCAAATGTTGATCGACGCCGCCGCTCGCTCACGCCGACGCTCGAACGTGCATCTTGAGGGTCAGCAAATGATGGCCTCGCCCCACCAAGCACCCACTGCCGACGATGCTGCGGCTTCTGTGGATCTTGCAAATCGCCGCGAACACGACGATTGCAAGGCGGCGGAGGCCACGGAGATCGAGGCGCCCGCGGCGGTGAGATATATACATGTGTCTATTGCAGCAACCCCCCACCCCCCCCGCGGTTCCTCGCCGGGGTTCTCTCTCCGCGCGCCGCCACAGGGCGACTGGACAACGAACCCGCTCATGAACGAGCGCAAGCCTGAGTCCAAGTTTGACTCCTCCAAGGCCGTCAGCAAGGTCGGCGGCGCCAACTGGTTTGGGGCCCTCTCCGGCGCGGAGGGGGGGGCCGGGGGCGACGGCGGCAAGGCGTGCGGCGAGGCGTCCGACGGCTCCGACTCGCCGCCCTACACGCCCTCGGTGCGCGCTCCTGCCGGAGACCGCACCTTCTCACTGCGCCGTGGGAGACGGCGCCCAACTCGCTCTGCGCCCCGCCTGCCCGCTCAGGGCACGCCCCTCTCGCCCAAGAATCGGGCCAAGAAGCCCTCGCTCGACTCGCCGCGCTGCGGCCCCGGCCGCCTCTGCCAGCCCCACCTGCTCAGCATCTTCATCGCCTTCCTCGCGGCCGTCGGCATGGGCGGCGGCGGCGCAGCCGCACTCGTCTTCAAGGCCCTGCTGCCTGCCGCGACGGCTCAGCCTCCTCCTCCGTTGTTGCCGTATCCGCCCCTCCTTCCGCCCCCTCCGCCCCCCCCGCCTTTCCCGCCGTCGTTGCCGCCGTCGCCGCCGTCGCAGCCACCGCTCCCGCCGTCGCCGCCGTCGCCGCCGTCGTATCCGCCCCTCCTTCCGCCCCCTCCGCCCCCCCCGCCTTTCCCGCCGTCGTTGCCGCCGTCGCCGCCGTCGCAGCCACCGCTCCCGCCGTCGCCGCCGTCGCCGCCGTCGCTGCCGCCGTCGCCGCCGTCGCCGCCGTCGCCGCCGTCGCCGCCATCGTCCCCGCCGTCGCCGCCGTCCGACCCTATCAACGCTTGCTACGATGTGGGGTCGTCGCGAACGGAGCTGGTGCTCTGCGCAAAGAACATCGGCAACAATTTCCTCTCCACCGGGCGGGACGTGGAGTCGCGCCCCACCATGGCGGCCTGCTACGCCTCGTGCGAGCACTACGAGCCGACCCCGCCCTGGGCCGAAAAGAAGAAAGGCTGCCTTACGCCAGGGTGCGCGAGGGCGACCTCCGACCCGGCGGAGCAGGGGCGGGACGAAGGCCTGAGTTGCGACGACCTCTACTTTGTGTCCGGATCGACCGGCCGAGTGAGACCGTGCATGGAGGATACCAGGAAGGCCTTCGTCCCTGGCATGACCACCTACCTCCCCTGGCAGTGGCGGCAGTGCGGGGGGACCTTGGTTCTCGAAACGGATCCGAACGCCGCGAACGCCAGGTGCGTGGAGGCCGCTGGTTCAAGCTGTACAATCGACCCGAACCCGGGCTCTGTTTATGAGGCCGACGATGGCACGATAGAATCTTTTGGCACGCTTGTTGGCGAACGCACGACTTACTACGAGTCGAACAATACCAAAGGCACCCCCCCCCCCCTCATCCGCCACTCCTCCCCCCTCGCCTACCCCCCCCCACCACCACCACACCCTCCCTCTCCCAGGTGAATTCGAGTTCGGGTTCGCCACTTGGAGCTTGTGCTGCGATAAAGGCGACTGGCTCGTTTGCCCACCACCATCATCACCCCCCTCACCCCCCGCGCCGCCGCCCACGCCGCCGCCGCCCTCCCCGCCACCGTCGCCGCCCTTCCCGCCGTTGCCCAAGCCGCCGCCCACGCCACCGCCGCCGCCGTCGATGCCGCTGCCCAGCCCGCCTCCTCCCTCCCCGCCGCCACCTTCCCCGCCTCCTCCGTCGCCTCCGCCGCCCTCGCCGCCGCCCTCGCCGCCGCCGCCCTCGCCGCCGCCGCCCTCGCCGCCGCCGCCCTCGCCGCCGCCGCCCTCGCCGCCGCCGCCGAGCCCGCCTCCGCCCTCTCCGCCGCCACCGTCGCCACCGCCGCCCTCACCTCCTCCTCCCTCGCCGCCACCTCCTTCACCTCCGCCGCCGTCGCCGCCTCCGCCCTCCCCGCCGCCGCCATCGCCACCGCCGCCGTCGCCGCCTCCTCCTAGCCCGCCGCCGCCCTCGCCTCCGCCTCCTTCACCTCCGCCCCCCTCGCCGCCGCCCCCCTCTCCGCCTCCGCCCTCGCCGCCTCCGCCCTCGCCTCCGCCACCGTCACCGCCTCCACCTTCGCCGCCACCGCCCTCGCCGCCGCCGCCCAGCCCTCCTCCTCCCTCGCCGCCGCCGCCCTCTCCACCGCCACCGTCCCCGCCGCCGCCCTCTCCGCCGCCGCCGTCGCCTCCGCCGCCGTCGCCGCCTCCGCCGTCCCCGCCACCGCCCTCTCCGCCGCCTCCTTCGACGCCGCCGGCGTCACCTCCACCGACGTCGCCGCCGCCTCCG